GGGGGTCAACTATTAATTCTTGAGTTTTTTTGTAGATTTCAAATTAGGGAGAATGTGGGCTAAATGAAAATTAGTTTAGGACGTTGATTATGAAAAAAAAATGTATAGCGCATAAATAGGGGGTTTAGCATTTTATTGTAAGTGGCATAATATAAAATTATTAGTTGTTATTCTTTAATTTATTCTATTTACATATTATGTAAATTGAATTTATTTTTTAATTTTATTTAAAAAATTTAAATAAATTATTTAAATTATTCACCACAAACACATTTTTGTTAGGTTATTTTTCATTGTTGCAAACCAAATCAAATAAAGTAATTTATAATTTATAGTGAGAAAAAAGTTTTTTATTTATAATTTAAATTATATTAAAATATAAAATAAAAATTATTAAATAAAAAAATTTACTAATAACCTGTCCTCATTTAATAATTTAAATTAAGTAATCTCAAACGAACTCATGTTACATAATATTTTTTTAAAATAAAAAATATTAGACTCTTCTTTTTAGAAGCTGGACTGGGCTTTGGACACGAGGCCCAAAGCAAAGAACTTTGAGATGGCCCGGATTTTCAGGAACCAATGTCCAAACTCACGATCCGGCGCCGTCCAGTCAAATTAGTCAACGCGGAAATCGCTAAAAGAATGGGCGCATGTCATTATCTGCGACCATAAAGAAATAAAATACTAAACGTGATCCATTATTTCATTCACCGACCGCAGATCACGACCGCACGATCTCCATAATCATCCAAATGGTCGCATCATCTAACGGTGAATTTTTTTCTTAATTCCTTCCAGGTGCCTGAACTTGATCAAGCCCCCACTCCCCGTCAATTTTCACGTGCTGAAATTCAGCCTCCAGCACCACACGAGGTCTACAGTCTTACTTTATAAATTTTCAGACTTTCTCTGAAGTCCGATCATCTTCGTCATTGTTAGCAGATAAGGAAGTAGTGATGGCCGGAACTCAATCGGATGAAACGAATACGCTCTTCTCTCCTTACAAGATGGGCAAGTTCAGCCTATCTCACAGGTCAGTCAACTGGGTCTGTCAGTTCTGTGATCTAGTGTTTCACTTTTTTGCGTCAAATCCCGTGATCTCGCGGCCTCCTTTTTCTTTTTATCACGCCGAGCGGCGATCTTGTCTGAATCTCGGAAGTCGGGAGAGTATTTTTATGATTATGTCTTTTTATTGACAAATTTGGCCTTGGAATTGGGGGAAACTGACGCGGTTTTGGTGGCAGGGTGGTGCTGGCACCCATGACAAGGTGCAGGGCGTTGAATGGGATTCCACGGCCTGCACTGGCGGAGTACTATTCACAGAGATCGACTCCTGGTGGCTTTCTCATTAGCGAAGGCACCATGATCTCCGAGACGGCTGCAGGGTAATTTTTTTTTTTTTATTTCCGTTGATTATCGAAGGAATGGTCAATCTAATTGATTGTGTGTGTGTGTTTTCTTTTTATTGCCAAAATCTAATTGATCGTTGAATTTGAATTTTTTTTTGGGGTAATATTGGACCCAAATTAAGATTTTTATTGTTCTTGGGTTGCTCAATGGGTGACAGTTTTTCAGTATGTTATGTAACTTAAATCCAATACCTTTTAAAGTATAAGAGTTAGTTAGTTGGAGAGCAAATAAAGATTTTAAAGGATTAGTTGGCACCGTAACTGACTTTAGAACTTCCTAAGAGCCCGGGAAATTGAATATAAAAGTAATTTTCTTTTAGGTGAAATGTGAAATTTATTACCCAAAATAACTGCCATCACAAAGCGGCACTATGAGACAAGGCTGCTACACTTTCAAAACTTAAAAAACAATAATGCTAATTATCGTTTTATTGACTTTTACAAAGAAAATCCAATACCCAGTTAGATGCAATGCTAACTGGCATAGGAGAAGCCCCTGCTTTGGCAAATCTCTGACATCAGAGTGTGTAGTTGCTAGAAGGGCCGACTCTGATGTGAATGTGTGAGTACGAATTCTTCTGTTTCTCTCCAGCCATATATGGTAGATAGTGGCAGTCCAAGCAAGCCGTATAAGAGTACCGTAAAGTGGCTTCCTCTTAATCTAATACATAACCATTGCAGCAATACTGGCTATGAATTAACAACTGGCATTTCTGTCTTTCCTGAAATACACTTCCGGATATAATAGATGAGTAAGGGCAACAGAAGAAAAGATGATCTCTGGTCTGTGGTTCAGCTTGACAGAGTAAGCAGTTATCATCAATGGATGAAGTCCATTTCTTCTGTCTAGACTTGGTGGTAAGCCTGTCCAATATAGCTAACCATGAAATGAAATTATGTTTAGTTATTGAGTTAGAAACCATTTGAGTTTTCCCCATGGAACTTTGGGGTGCTTGTCTCTGAGATAGTTCCAAGTATGACTAGTTTGGAATGAGCCAGTAGGTGATGACAGCTAACAAACTGAGTCTTCTTGCTCCTGATTAGGATATAATACACCACATAATTCAATTTGAATATAAAAGTAATTTTACTTTTAGGTACTTGGGTTTTAAATAAATAATTGAAAACTAATTTGACATTCCCATCTTCTTCATAGAAATGCTTAATCATATTCATTTTATTGTTTCTCTTTAAAAAAAAATTCAGAAACATATTGTTTTCAGTTTTAATTTAATCATGTCTAACTGGTTTGAGACCATTTTCATGATTGAATCAGGTTCCCACATGTCCCTGGCATTTATACAGAAGAACAAGTTGAGGCATGGAAGAAGGTGGTGGATGCTGTTCATGCCAAAGGAAGCATTATTTTCTGTCAGCTATGGCATGTTGGTCGTGCATCTCATCAAGGTAAATTATTCCATGATCAGCTTAATCTGTAATTTATAGCTGCATGTGTATTGTTGTCGAAGCTTTAAGTTATTTGATTGATGAGTTTCATTTGAAAATTTGGTCATTGAATTAGTATATCAACCTGATGGAGGTGCACCAATATCATCAACAAGTAAGCCTATATCACGGAGATGGAGAATTCTTATGCCAGATGGGACCTATGGCATTTATCCAGAGCCTCAAGCCTTGAAAACTTCTGAAATACCAGAGCTTGCGGAGCAATATCGCAGGGCTGCCTTGAATGCAATTAGAGCTGGTCAGATTAAACATTGAAAACTCACTGCTTTTTGGTTAGAGATGTAGATTGTATTGATATGTGCAATTTTTGTTTACGTTTCTGATAGATGTCTTCTGTGTAAGTTGTTGCTTTGTTCTATAAATAGCAAGTTTAGTTCAGACAAGAAAGAGTGCTATCATTACTTTGTCATAAGAGATGATGCATTCTTTTTTTTTTTTGCTAAGGACGTAGAGTGTGTTGATGTTCTTTTGGAAAGTTGATGTTTTGGCAAGTTTAATTTAGACAAAAAAAGAGAGCTATCATTAGTTATCATAAAAGATGGTGCGCACTTTATCAAAATTTACTCAGAGTGCATGTACCGTGATAGCTTTCTATTATGGGGACATTACTTTTTCTTTGTTGTAACATGGGGATGCATTGAGTGACTATGATTATGTCTCCTTCAAATTATGCTGGGTTCATTATGGTCATGATGCTTAATTTTAAATTTTCTTTTTGTGAAACTGTTATGATTTCCTATCCTAACCTGTTATTTTTGGTCCCACTATTGATAGGAAAATCAGCTTAGTTTCTAAGACGTACATTTTCTAATGATGGTAAATACATTGAATCTTAGTGGTATAAGACCTTGAAAAATCACAGGTTTAGTTTTGTAATAATCCTCTGAATTCTGAAACCTGAATTTACTGTTGAAGAACTTTATTCTGATTTGATTGCAGGTTTTGATGGGATTGAGATCCACGGGGCACATGGATACCTCATTGACCAATTCCTGAAGGATGGGATCAATGACCGAACAGACGAGTATGGTGGATCACTTGCAAACAGGTGCAAATTTTTAATCCAGGTTGTTCAAGCAGTAGTGTCAGCAATTGGTGCTGAAAGGGTCGGTGTCAGAGTTTCACCTGCAATTGATCACCTTGATGCAACCGACTCTAATCCTCTCACCCTGGGGTTAGCAGTGATTGAGAGACTTAACAAGCTCCAGCTTCAATTTGGCTCAAAGCTCACTTACCTTCACATAACTCAGCCTCGGTACACTGCCTATGGCCAGACAGAATCAGGAAGACCTGGCAGTGAGGATGAAGAAGCTCATATGATAAGGACTTGGAGAAGGGCTTTCCAAGGAACTTTCATGTGCAGTGGTGGGTTCACTAGGGAACTGGGAATGCAAGCAGTTGCTGAAGGTGATGCTGATCTTGTATCCTATGGCCGTCTTTTTATTGCAAATCCGGACTTAGTCTTGAGGTTTAAGGTCAATGCACCCTTGAATAAGTATATTAGGAAAACATTTTACACTCAGGATCCTGTTGTCGGGTACACAGACTACCCTTTTCTGTTGCGGTCACATCTTTGATGGACTGTTATCAGAATTTTTACTCCCCACTCAATCAAAGAGCTTACATGCCACGCCATGCCATGCACTGAGTTGGTAGACATGAGAGGAAATATATCTAATTGTACTATGTCTTCAATTCTTGGGAAATTGTGTTTTACTATATCTTTGTTTGGCCCATGATATATGCTATGCTACGCACCAGGTGCCTAGGTCAGTAGAAAAGGAGGAAATAGGCCTAATTGTGCTCTGTTTGCTATTCCCAGGTGATTGTATAATTACTGTCTATTGTTCGGCCTCTGAATTGATGGAGTGAATATCTTAGTGAACATTCAAGGGCATAAAATTTTATTATGGAAATCTATGTTTATGTTCATGCAAACTCTGATTACATGGGAGAAAGTACAATTTTTATTAGTTGTTTATATAGATAAAAAAGAAGTGAAAAAAGAGGATGAAGGAAAAGCATATTCTTAGGATTTGAAAAATGTTGAAATGGATATTTTGTACATATGAACAAATTTCCACAAACAAGCTATTGATATTTTTTTGGATATTCTTGATGCCCTTGGAAGCGTTCCAAAAGTACAGCGACGCAGCCACGCAGCTGGCATGAAGAGAGGAACAGCTATGTTGGTGACCATTTGAAATTGTAAAGGTCACCTAGAGCTGCAAACAAAACAAAATCAACCTTCTCCAAGGTGGACCCTAATTTCTTTCGTTTTCTTTAGCCTCTTCTTTGGTGGAGCCTGTTCTCTCCCCTGTAATCAATCTTCATCCATCCTTAGCAGATCACATGTTTGTAATTTTATCTGTGAACTGTGAACACAGCAAACATTCATTGATGTTGATGTTTCTTGAGCAGAGGCAGAAGCATCCTATCTTGCTGGTAAGAAATGGATGGCTATTACCTTGCCTGTTTCCATCATTTACTCATAATCTTATCTCTTCCCCCTCCTACTTGCCGGAAACAGGACAACGGGAGAATTTCTCTTTAGGTTTCACCTCCCTGGAAGTATCCCATTTTACAAGAATCCATATCCTTGTACCTCTCAAAAGGCAATACCTTCGGGATGGGGAATTCCTGAGGTCCATACAATTCTTCCATGGACGGCTATTGAAGTGATAACAAGATTTGCAAAAAAGACTCACTCTTTAGCTGTCAAAATGTCGTTTTATGCTCTAACTTCAATTCCTATTCTCGTCGCCATGTGACCTATGGGCAAGTTTTGCATATTTTTCTGCCTTTCTTTGACAAGTCACCAGAGAGTCAATGCAATTACCTTTAGAAGGAGAAATGGTAAATGGTTTGGTGGGAAATCAGGATAAGACATTTCCTCCTGTTCCTGCAATTTCCAAACCAAAAGAGAACTCTTGTCTTTCTCTGAATCACAGCTAAAACAGTCTTTTTCTACCTAGTCCCATCTACATACACAGTCTCCTCTTCACGTGAAACGCTGCAATGGAACATAAGCATCATTCGGCAACATCTTCTTATAAATGGCACCCAATCCTCTTCACACAAACACAAACCACGAAAAAGAACATTGGATGAAGATGTTTCTGCCTATACTCTTCCTCTGTTCTGTCTTCTTCTCCTCCTCCTATGCCGCAGTGCAGGACTTCTGTGTTGCAGACTTGTCTGCTCCCTTTGGTCCTGCAGGCTACTCCTGCAAGAAGCCAGCAACGGTCACGGTGAATGATTTCGTCTTCTCCGGCCTTGGTGCTTCTGGTAACACCTCAAACCTCATAAAAGCAGCTGTGACACCAGCTTTTGATGCTCAATTCCCCGGTGTCAATGGGCTAGGCGTCTCCCTGGCTCGTATTGACTTAGCCAAAGGAGGGGTTATTCCTATGCACACACACCCTGGAGCTTCGGAAGTTCTCATTGTAATCGAAGGCTCCATATGTGCGGGATTCATAGACTCGGCTAACAAAGTGTACTTCAGGTCTCTTGCCAAGGGAGATATCATGGTTTTCCCTCAGGGGTTGCTGCATTTCCAAGTGAATGCAGGGAAATCTCCAGCATTGGCGTTTGCGAGCTTCAGCAGCGCGAACCCGGGTTTGCAGATTCTGGACTTTGCTTTGTTTGCAAATAATTTGCCTTCTGAATTGATAGAGAAGACTACTTTCCTTGATGATGCTCAGGTTAAGAAGCTCAAGAAAGTTCTTGGGGGAACTGGTTAAGGTCTCTGAAGGTGGAGACTCTTGAATTCTTCTTTGGTTTTGTCATGGTTAAAGGGTCAAGGAAGTAGGTTCTTTTACCGAATGAATAATCAAGTTGAGTCTTCAGGTTCAAAATTCAGTTGTGTATTCTTGTTGGGTGCATTCTTGGCATTATATCTGTATGCATTTCTCCTATGTCAGTTTGTGTGTCTAGTGTTAAAATGATTAGATTCATGTTTGTTCATCTGTTTTTTTGCCTTTTTTTTTCATCCTTTTTTCTTCAAGGGGAAATGAATTATGATATATCCCAAAGGGCCATTGACCATTGGGTCAAGACTTCAGATACAAAAGCAAAAACGGCTTGGGCCATTCGGGCCTAAACAATTAATAGCAACCACAAGGAATCCAAAAATTTCTACAGTATTACAATTGTCTCAATCTCTTTATCATTTTTAATATTTTGATTACTAAAATATCTTAATTTTTCCTAATCTTTAATAGCTACTTTTTCAAACCCAATCTTGGATTTTTATTCTCTCAATAAATTATTAAAGATAGGGCCTTTTTTTTTTTTTAACTCCTTACGATCTTGACGTTGAATCATATTTTTCTCTCCCTATAAACATATCAATGATAGGTGGGGCCTTCAGCCCTTTTTTTTGCTTCTAATTTTAGCCCTAAGTCTTTTTATTTCCTATGTATTTCCATCTTTAAACCTACCAAAAACAACTTTTGTAAAGTGAATATTCCCCAGTCCAGAGGAGATGAATTCAAAATCTCATCCCAAAATAAAATTCTAATTGCCTTTTTTAACATCCCAATAATTCATGCATTTGGGGAGATATGGTCCAACACAACCCAAGATTGAGTGGACCAAACCAGATTTAACAAACCTTTATACTTGCAGCTGCACTGTGTAATGTAATCCAGCAACTCAATGCAACTGGAATTTTTTTTTTTTTGTTTATCGATTAAGATGTGTTTGAATTAGTTTGTATGTATCTTGAAACTAATTCTTAGTTCGATTAAAAATAAGTTATTTACACTGAGACTAAAAAATTTATAAAGAATTATCTTTTCATTAATTTTTTTAAAATTTAAACTTTAAAAATAAAATAAGAAATAAATTTCCTTATTAACTAAATTAAAACTCTAGCTAATACAACTTGGTGCCTTGTCATCATCCATTGGTCCCCACGAAATTCCTCAAATCCATATCTAGTTTCCTTCTTGGGTAAATTCCTTCCTACTAATCATAAATTCATAATCTATCATATATTATGCCTAATCTAATCAATCATCAAACTCTCATGATGGGAATGGCAAGAACTGTTCCTCCACGGGCTAATTCAATAGCAGCAACACGAATCAAGATTATATGGTACCAGTGGCAGTTTGTAAACCCATTTTAACAATTCTTTTTATTTATTTATTTATTTTAAACAACTAATGACAAAATTTTAAGAGTTTGGTGTTTAACAAAATCATAAACAGTAAGGTCTTTATAGGGCAAATGACAGACCCCCCACTAATCATAGAGATGATGTTCTTGCAATCTGTCTAAAATAAATTGCAAAACACTTTTTCAAAATTTTAATTATATTTTATTGACAAATAATTAAATATCAATGGTAGTTTTTTTTTTCTTTTTTCTTTTTTTTTATCATTTAAAAAAAAAATAAGCTTTTAAATTCTAATCAAATAATAGAATAGGTAACTATTAGTAAATTAAAGAGATGTAAGAAAATTATTTTCAATTATATAATTTAAAATAACAAAAAATACAAAATTATTTTTTTAATCTATATAATTCAACTATAAAAATATTTAAATAACTTTACAAAACAAGATATATTAAAAATATTTTGGTAGATTCATACCGTCTTTGTTTGTCGTCTGTGTCTTTGGCCAGTCTGTCATCCCTCTTTTTCTTTCCATGTTTTATACGTACAAAAATGGAACTGCCTGAAATTTCTCTCAATATATAATATTCTTATTCGTCTTTCTTTCCCTGTCTCTGTTTTTGCATTGAGTTCCAAGGAGGGAGAGAGACAGGGACCCTAGGCTTCTTCACCATGAGTCTTTTCGGCCTTGGTAGCAGGTAAAGCCAACTTTCTTTTCTTTTTCTTCTTATTCTCAATGACATGATCATCTCCCTGAAGATGTTCTCAGATTTTTCTTCTCCATTCCTGGATTCATTTGCTTGTTTTTTATGCTATTATTCAATCCTCTGGTGCTCTATTAATATTTTTTAAAATGTTGAACGAGGATCATTTTAATATAATGGTGATATGATTGGTTTCTATCCTGAACATGTTTTTTGGTGCTTAGTTAGGATATGAAATAGGTTAGATGGTGTGTTTTAAGGTAAATCATCTGTTTAGGAATTAGGATATTTGTGTTTTTGTAATTGTTTGGATTAGGATTCAATTTGAGAGGG